CAGCGCACAGAGGTTCCTGCAATTAGAACAAGGGAAATGTACCACACACTTCTCATAAAGACTAACAAAGTCAGAAAATTGATGACTAGAGGTAAAAGAACCTGCTTTGCTAAACTTTCCAGCCTTGCCAAAACAAAAACAAATAACTTCCCTTGTGTCCACAGGTAGCAGCCAAAGCGAGACAGAACTTCTTGGTGGACTCCCAGCTTTGATACACTGTAGTGTTGTGGTCTTGGGCAAGCCACTTAACCTCGCAAAACCTCACTTTCATTCTAATTGCTAAAATGGCAATGACAGTACCTGTGTTGCAAGTTTGTTCTGAGAATGAAAGGTATATTTCCAGTGCTTGGCTCCTCTGTAAGAAGCAGGAATGTTCTCAGGCTTCTGTGGTTCCACAGTCCAGCCTTTCTCAGTGGGGCGACACTGCCCCCTAGGGGGCATTTTGGAACTATACGGCGGGGTGGGGGGTTGTTCCGTTGTCCCGAGATCCAGATGACATTTAGAGGTGGTTGGGGTCGGAGATGCTAAGATTCTGCCATGCGAGTGACAGTCGCGCACGATAAAGGATTTTTCCGCGGCCCCACAACCTTGAAAGTCTTTCCATACATTCGTATGCGTGGAAGAATCCGTTTATAATTATCTGGGGCTAGAACCAAACTCCATTTTACACCTAAATACAAAGTAATTTTTTTTGCACAGTGTTAATGAACACTGGATTTTTCTAGAAATGCAGCTACGTGTAAATCAAGGGTTGACTGCACTTCGTTATGTCTGGAACTTTACCAAGAGTTGTTCACCGTTTGGGAAAATCGCGCCCTCCCCTGGCCGCGCTGCTCCAGGCAGCGCAGACCTAACAATCTGCATTTGCTGTCGCCACGTTCAGGGGACTCTGCGCCCCGGCGCGGGCTACTTCACTACTTATTCGAGTGTGGTGGTGCCAAGCTCCTACAGACTGAAACATAGGCTTTATTTCTAAATCGCTTTCCTATGTGTCCCCTTTATGGTACAGTTGCAGCATAACACAGGATTTTTAAAATTGGGTGAGCAGGCAGGTTGTTTGCAAACAACTTCGTGTCCGAGTAGCAAGTGGGTGCAAACGTGTTGCGCGGGGCTGGGAACAAGCTCCGCAGCCGGGAGAGGCCGTGGGCACCCGCGGACCGGGTTCTCAGGGAGGCGGACGCAGAATCCGGGCTCCAGGTGACCAGCCCTGGAACTGGGGGCCCGCGACCCTCCCGCCCAGGGGGTGGCACCAGAGAGTGGAAGCCTCCGGGTCTGGGGAAAATCCTTCTCCCCTAGGGCCACCTCCGGAGGCGGCTGGCGGGTGGGTGGCAGAGCTTGTAGCCAGCCCCTGGGCTCCGCGTGCTGCTCGTTGCCATGGAGACCGACGCGGCCCTGGACGCCAGGCAGCTCCTCGGCCCGCCACCCCGGTCACCCGCAGCGGGATTCCAACCCCTTCCCCCGCGGCTCCCGGAGCCCGGAGGCGGTTCGGGACCAGGGCGAAGGCCGCCCACCTGCAGCGTACCTGCTCCGCGGGCTCCGCGGGGCCAGCGAGGCGTCCGGGCGGATCGGGTTCTGCGGGCGCTGCGCCTACCGCGGCCGGGGCGGAGCCGCGCGGGGGAGCGCGGGCGGGGCCGAGTGGCCCGAGGACCTGGCCACACCGTCCACCTCGAAGAGGGCTCGGAGCGTGGCGACCAGCCCGAGTCACCCACCACCGCCCGCTGCTGCCGCAGGTCGGACTTCTGTGCATGACACTCAACAGTCCGCTCCCCATCATGCTTGCCCCGCACCGCCGCCTCCGCGTACATGCGCTTTGCAGCAACCCTGCAGGGCAGTACTCTCCCAAAACGTGGAGAAGAAGAGTGTTTCTCGTGCAGGGTCTCAAATATTGCCAAGAGGTGGACGTGAGACTGGAACCTCATCCTACTTTTGGCCACAACTGGCGGCCTCCCGCCGGGTCCTCTAACGACACAGCCTGCGACCCAGTGGTCAGTACACACGCGGCTCCCACCAGACCATGCCCCAATCCCTGTTTGCAGTCAGCTGCCGCCTAAATAACATTTCATGTGTTTGGTTGAAAAGGATGTAATTTTCTGCAGTTGTAAATATTGACACAAATAAAACATATCCAATGGCATCTAAGTATCAGGACGGTATCGCACCCTCCATCATCCATCAAAAAGAAAACAATACAAAACTCTTAAGAACCAGAAAGTTTACGTCATTACTTTTTCTCCTTGAAACGCTATCTCCATCTCACTTTTCTGATGTAATTTTAGCCCAAGGTTATTATCTTTTTTATGCTTGAAAGTCTTACTGATCACCCTACCATACTGCTCTGAAGAAGTACATAAATGGAAATTAATTTATATTTCCTGATCATAGAATCTTAAGGGTTTTTGATACTCATTAAATTTACAAAAGTAAAATTATATTGGACATTCATCTCTTAAAGACCTGGATGGGCTTCCCATGCCTCATTACTACCTGTATCCATAGACGAATGCTAACTTCTTGCTAGAATAGACAAGGCTCAACACTGATTCCCTTCCATTTTTTTCTTTAATAAAAATCTATAAAGGCTGAGAAATCTCATCCAAATAAGTAAATAGGAATGGAAGTTTTGTTGCAAATGTCCCTCAATTTTTGCCTGGTTGTATATCAGAAGCATATACCACCAGTACACAGTGGCTCATGCCTGTAATCCTAAGCACCCTGGGAGGCCAAGGCAGGAGGATTGCTTGAGGAAGGGAGTTCCTGACCAGTCTGGGCAACATAGCAAGAGCCTGTCTTTACAAAAAAAAGAAAAAGAAAAAAAGGCCTAGTAAGGTGACATGTGCCTGTAGTCCTAGCTACTGGGGAGGCTGACGCAGGAGGATCATTTGAGCCCTGGAGTCTAGGGTTTGAGGCTGCAGTGAGCTATGATCTTACCACTGCACTCCAGCCTGGACAACAGAACAAGATCCTGTCTTAAAAGAAAAAAAAATCATACAGCAATCTATCACCCAAACTGGTTATGGTTTATAATCATCAACTGATAATTCCACTAGTCTTCTGAAATTGTATTAAAAGCAAAACTCTGCAAACCATCTGATATTCAAAAGGATTTGTTATCCAAGACTCATTCGGTCGCTCAAAAATTATACATGATTCCAAGTTCCCTTGGCTCGGTGGTTTAGAATGTTCACACCCTGGGTCAATGCTAAGATCTGAGATGACTAAGAGGTATAGAGTGCTATATATATGGAAGCTGAGTATCTAGAAAGATCCTTAAAATGATCCATGACTGCTTTAATATGAAAAATCTTCAAGAGTGTGGTGAGCTACCATTTAAGGAGCTAACTTAAGCAAAATCAGTAAATGGTGCTTGACTGCAAACTGCGAGGCAGACAATAGGAAAGATAACATAAATTCTGAACCCTAGGTGGTAAATTTGTTTCTTACAGGGTTAATGATTTGGAAACTGCTTTACAGGTATACTGGGGTTGAACAGTGATGAGGATGGTAGATGATGCAAGCTGGGTTTCTCATTGTCAGGGAGAGACATTACAGAAAAGCAAGTAGGGAAGGCTAGCATGAATCTATGGTACAGGATTAGTCAGGGCATCCATAGGAATCCACCCTTGGTTTAATATGCATACAGATGGACAGATGCAGACATAACTACATAGACGTGTGGGTCCACAGGTTAGTATACAGGCATGTATTTCCTAGCTCTGTCTGCTGGGAGGACCTAGAAACAGTGACCTACCAGTAGAACAAGCACACCCAGCACCTAGAGCTTGGTTTCTAAACCAATGAAGGGAACCAAGCCTCCTTGGAGAAATGGATTATTCTGAGGCTGGGGCAGAGAAGGTAAAGATGAGCCTGGACTATCTTCTTATAGTGCCTGGAAGGAAGAAAGTGCTCAAAAGGAATAGGAGCATGTCAAAGAACATAGGAGCCAACCTGAAACAACTCCCAATGGCCCAGGCTAGAACAATTCCAACAACAAAACAAATGACTTAGTACTGAATTATACCCCTACTCCCTCTCCAGGGACAGAGATCAATTTCTCTCCACTTGAGTATGGGCTGGACTTAGTGACTCATGTAGAGTGAACAGAGCATGAAAATGGAAAATTAGCAACTTTACAGTGGAGAGCTGGCAGACACTGCCTTAACCTAGTGATCAAGGTGAATGCCACCAGTAATGTCATGTGGATGTCACTTACTCCCTGATAGGGTGTGATGAGAAGGGCACTTCACTTTTGTCGTTTTCCCCCAAACCCATAAACTCAGTCCAATCATGAGGAAAACATCAAACAAACCCAGACTAAGGGACGGTCTATAAAATATCTAAGCTGTACTCCTCAAAAATGTCAAGGTCCTGCAAAACAAGGAAAGAGCAGGAGACTGCCAGAGAGCAGAGGAGACTAAAGATGACTACAAGTCTGAGTAGTGTATAATGGGGATGGGGGGAGGGATCGTCCACACCACAGTTTTTGCATGTTAAAATTTAAAAAACTGTTAAATCTTTAAAAGTTGTATATATTCCAGATTTGAGTAGATGCTCGTTCATGTTCCTACTGTATGCCCCCTTATTCTTTACTTTAGTGCCGTTTCCTGTATCCATCAGTTTCACACCCCTGTGAGATCCACTGGGAAAAGCCTGTTTCTTCTTTAGTAAAATATTCCATCTCACTGAAGTACCATAGCATTAACGGAGGTTGACACATGCCAGGACCCAGTATGTGTGTGCCGTGAGTCCCCACATTCGTTCCACATCACTCTCTGGTTTCTGACTTCTCTATCTTCTCACGTTTGGACTCATGCCTTTGTCACCTACAGGACCGCCACCTTCTGAGAGATCTGAAGCCCACGCCACTCCTCCCATGGCTGGTCCTCCACCCTGGGCACTTCTGTGCATCATGGGAGGGACTGTATTTAAGGACAGCTGGCAGTCGGTGAAGATCTTCAAACTGCCCATAACTAGGTCTAATTGAAAAACTGCACATATTGTTATGTTATAATTAAATATATTTACATCCTTAACCCTTTAGGAAATGTAAAAAGAGTTACACAGTAATAAACCCAAATCATAACTGCAATAATAACATAAGGGCTGCTGTAATGGTCTACGGTCAGCATCCCTGAGGTAGGCATCATTATCCTCATTTTATGGATGAGGAGATTGGGGCTCAAAGAGGTTAAAGTAATTTCTGACAATCACACGACTAGTTGGTAGCAGATCTAGCATCCAATTTCTGCTCTACTATACCGCAAAGCCCAAAGCTCATTCCATTATGTGATAACTTCTCCCGTGAGTTTAAAAACTCACAGGAGTTCTAGATTTTTTCACACTCCATGATACTAATCAGGAACAATTTTCAATATTAGCAATTCCCCCTTCTTCATTCTAGTTCCAAAGGAAAATAAATATATATCCTGTGAACTAATTATTATTCCAACATGAATTCCTCATTTGCAGCATCTCCTGTGTGACTTGGAACACCCCCTTGGGCACTATCCATCAGATGCACCTTGCAGTCCAGCTCGCTTCTTCAGCTCTGACACCCAGTCGGGGCTGTCGTCATCTTCCTCAAAGTCCCTGTGAAAAACAATTTGGATGATAAGCCTTTCTGTTAGGGACACAGTATTTGTTGATGGATTCAAAGCAGAACACCACCAGAACAATATTTAAGTTTTCGAAAAATGAGTTCCATAAGGCAATTGAACAGAGAAATACTTGTTAGTTCTTCCAAAAGATCACTTCTTTCACGTTTCTAATTGTTTTTCAATATACAATCCAGTGTATTAAAAATAACTAGTCCAAGCTGAAAGGTTATACCGTGTTTCCCCGAAAATAAGACCTACCCACAAAATAAGCCCTAGAAGGATTTCTGAGCATTTGCACAATAGAAGCCCTACCCCCAAAATAAGACCTAGTGATGGGCGTGGCTATGCAGCGTATCTGCACAATCCATGCATTTCCTCTCGGAGTGGTAAAGAAGACGAGCAGCCCTTCTCATCTGCCCCATGAGAGCTCTATGGCTCAACACGAGAGACTGGGGCCAATAGTTCTAAAGAAAATAGAGTCGCAAGAAATTCAGGATGGAATTCGGGGTTTGGGGAGTTATGATGATGTTCCAGAAGAAGACGACTTAACTATATTAAAATAAATGTAGATTGTTGTACCATACTTAAAAAACATAAAACATCTCCTGAAAATAAGCCCTAGCGTGTCTTCTTGAGGAAAAATAAATATAAGACCCTGTCTTATTTTTGGGGAAACATGGTATGTATAGGGCTCAGCCGGGAATTTTGCAATATCAGAACACGTTACCCATCCTGGACAAAAGTGAAAAGTAATGTAACAAGATCCTACTAAACCTGAAAGTATTATGGTCTAAATTTATGGTTTAAATTAAACCACAGGCGCAAGCTCCACAACTCAAGCTCCCTAGGTATATCCCAACGTACGTGTCCTCCTCCTCCAGCTCAGGCTGGAGTCGCTCTGGATCCAACATGACAGAGTCGTGGCCTCCATCGACACTGTCTGATGCTTCTGTTCCTTCAGACAAGGGGCCTTTCAAGAAGTCTTCTGAACCTTCAGGGAATATGAACAGAAGGTACGCCCATTTAGACAGCATTTCCTTATTTCATGCATTTCAACTAAAATCCTCTACAAGCTTGCTGGCTACTAAAAGCCAATGCCATGCTCTGTATTTTTTCGTTTGTTTGTTTTTTGCAGTGTCTCCTCACATTACCCAGCATAATTTTTGGCATAAAACAGGCTCATGAAGCATCAGTATGTGGAATTAAACTTAAAAGCAGTAGTTTCTTCAAGAGGAAAAAAAACCTCAGAAATTAAAATAAAAACCTTCGAATATAAGAACTTACATTAAGGCATTAAAAGTTATCTTTGGAAGTTGGATTACAGTTAATTTTTTTTTTTCCTTTGAGCTTTCCCCTTCCCAGTTTTCACAATGGAGGGGAGGAAGGGTAGAGAATTAAAGGAAGACCACATGCATGCTTTTAAAGAATTTTGTAAGCAGTGATTACTTTCAGATTTTTTGCTTACAGAATAAAAACCTAATGTAAAAATACAGGCTAAATCTTATAAAAGTCATTTCAAAATGGAACTATGATATATTTTTTAAACAGGGACTTTCTCAAAATGACAAAGACTTCATCATTAGACCACACACAAAATCCAAGACCTAAAATTGCTAAATTGGAATTCAGAATCATTACTCTTCTTTAACATCTTCCTCTCCTCGGGCCTCCCATGATATTCTGTGCTCAGCTCTATCAGAATGGATATACTACAGAGCACTACAATTCTCTGTGTATTGGGCTCCCAGGTAATGAACTTCTTCATCCTTCAGGGCAGGCATCGTGTTTTATTCTGTTTTTTATCTTAATCTAACACACGTTAGGCACTCAATAAATATTGACCAAATAAACAAATACAACTAAACCTGTTACAATAAATATAGTTAAGACTTCCCATACCATTACATGCTCTACTTGGTATAATTTATCTTAGATCTTAACCTAGCCAGGTGGTTTAGTAATTTAATTATCAATATTACACACAGAGGCACATCCTTAATGTAGTCCCTGGCCCTGGATTCCAAAGGATAGTATAATAAAAAGTGATTTTATATATTTTAGTAAAAATGTCTGTAGAAAAAGATTTAAAAATCAAATCCTAATTGTTCACCCTTTTTGAGCTCTACTCAATGTAACAGAATTCAAGTACACAACAAAAGGAATCTTGGAGTTGTCACTAAAACAGTGGCATATTTACATCGTAAAAATAGGCTACTCTTAAAGGAAGTAGTAGCATGATTATTAAAATAAGCAAACTAATGAGCGAATAGAAGTAAAGTAGTTCTATAGAAAATTTTAATTGTAGCTGAAGATTAGCTAGAAAAGATTCAAAAACACATAAAGCCGAGGTGCCGTGGCTCATGCCTGTAATCTCAGCACATTGGGAGGATTGCTGAAGCTTAGGAGTTTGAGACCTGCCTGGGCAACATAGCAAGACCCCAATTCTACATAATTTTTAAAAATTAGCCAGGCAATGGTGGCATGCACCTGTAGTCCCCGCTACTCAGGGAAGCTGAGGCAGAAGCATCATTTGAGCCCAGGAGTTCAAGGCTACAGGGAGCTAGGATCATGACATTGCATTCCAGCTAGGGTGATGGAGTGAGACCCTGTCTTTTTAAAAGAAAAAAACACTGAAAAATATAATGCTATTAATTATTTTATAACTTTAAAATCAAAAGGTTTCTGGAAGGGGGAATGGGAATGGGGAGTTATTATTTAAGGGGTACAGAGTTTCAATTTTAGAAGATGAAAATGTTCTGTGGGTGAATGGAGATTATAGCTGCACAACAATGTGAATGTACTTAATGCCACTGAACTGTATATTTTTAAATGGTTAAAATGTTAAATTTTATGTTTTATGTATGTGCCACAATGAAAAAAAATCGAAGGATTTCCATGGTCACACAACAGACATGAATTACCTGGTCTATATATTGTGTATGTTTGAAATGCCAAGCTGAGATCAGCGTTCTTAAGGATGTTCAACAAGGTGTCCGGGGTCTCTTTGAGCCACTGCTTACGAGTGTTATTTTCATTGTACTTTATTACAGAACCACCTAGTTGTAAAAAGATAAAAATTAGTGCCAAGTGAAAAAAGATTTTTCAGCATCTATCTTCCAGATCATATTTCAAACAAAGTTAGTTATGTTTGGCCCTCATCTAAAATATATTTCACTCACCTGTTATGAGCAGTGTCCTTACATGTAATACCAAATATCCTTCAAAAACATTAAAGAAAAAACCTCTAGCATATTGAGTAACTATTCGAAAATGTTCTATAATAAAATAATAGTATTCAATCTAACCACTAACCTCTATCGTCCTCTGCGGGGAAACTGGAGGTAAGTATGGATAAGTTTTCCAAAGCTGTAAGAGCTGTACTGGGTGCATCTTTCTCCCATTGTCGCCTCTGAGGGCTTGGTGAACTGGCTTTCCTCAGATGGACTGATTCATTACCTGATTTTAAAATGTTAAAAAGGAACACTAAGCATATTATTTTATTTACTCATCTACATTCACCCACATATTCTAACAATAATATGGAAGTATTTCTTTTCTCTTTCAAATTCTGATCTAGCAACAATGTTCTTTCAAGTCTAAGTAGCAAAGGAAATGAAAATAAAATCCAAAATGAAAATGTAAAATGAATCATTAAAAGTTATTTTAAAAAAGCAATATGCATATAGTTACATATTACACATTGTATAAGAATGAACCCCTGAGGGACTTATGTATTACACAGTATGCTATATGTATACTACAATATATACTACTTTTCCTAATGGCGCTAAATACTAGTTTCTTTTTTTATTTTTTTGGTATGTAAATATTGCAGTAACATTAAATAAAGTACTGGATAGGCAAACAAATATCTGCCTGTATACTTGCTTATGATAACTAAGACCTGGTAACATGAAAATTGGTACTCCTTCTATGTTCCCTAACTCCACCTAAGCAATGATCAGAATTTGAGTAACGTACCTTTTTCTTCTCTGTTTACTCTCCTCAGTGTACTTTCAGCCACATTTCTATTAATGCTTTCTAAATCAGTATGGCTACACTTTCCACCTTGTTCTTCCTCTTGCTTTAAAAGAGATTAAAAGTACAGATTCAATAATGCTTGAATTGCTACAGAAAAGGTTAACAAATATGCAAAGTCAGTTATTTTCATTTTAGATAAAAATTAACAAATTAAAGACATGAAGTCATAAAACACCAAATACTTGTATATTATATCATATAGAAGACATGTATAACAAACATATGCATACATACATATATGTATATTAACCATAAACCTACATACATGTAAATATATTATTTTACTTATTTTTTAAGACAGAGTCTCACTCTGTTGCCCAGGCTAGAGTGCCATGGCGTCAGCCTAGCTCACAGCAACCTCAAACTCCTGGGCTCAAGCGATCCTTCTACCTCAGCCTCCCGAGTAGCTGGGACTACAGGCATGTGGCCCGCCCAGCTAATTTTTTTTTCTATATATATTTTTAGTTGGCCAATTAATTTCTTTCTATTTATAGTAGACATGGGGTCTTGCTCTTGCTCAGGCTGGTCTCAAACTCCTGACCTCAAGCAATCCTCCTATGTCGGCCTCCCAGAGTGCTAGGATTATAGGCGTGAGCCACCACACCCAGCCAATATATTATTAATAATAGCTATATATTAATACATTGACAGCCATTAATATCAATGATTACAAATATGAAGAAGATATATAAAATAACAGAGATAAATGACAGGTCTTTATTGAGGAAAAGAGTGATGGAAAATTTCATGATGGTTTGCTATACTGGGTTTTTCATGCTGTAATATCAAAATGAGCTATTGTATAAAGTTGCTATATATGGTCAAAATGTTCCCACTTAATTTAGTATTTTTTCAAATTATCAAATCCCTTGATTTATTTCATAAAGTATAGTAGTAACACTATGTAGTTTTTATTAAATCTGCATGTATTTTCAGAAGGAATACAGATTTAGTACCTAGACAGTCCCAGGCACACTGAGTTTTTACCACAATAAAAAACAAACAGAAAGGCAGGCAGAAACAAGATATTCATGACTCAAAGCAGGACAAAGTTCTCTCGCATCTGTATTAAAACCACCATCATCAATAATTAACTCTTTGCACTCGGATGTCGAGTGTGGATAATGTCTAGTGAATGATGAGAAAAAAGTGAGTGCAAAGGGTTTAAAATGAAAAAAACAAGCACAGTAAGCTGGATGCTATGGTGCACACCTGCAGTCCCAATTATTCAGGAGGCTAAGGCGGGAGGATGGCTTGAGCCCAGAAGTTTGAGACCTGCCTGAGTAATAGAGCAAGACCTTAAAGAGCCTCTAAAGAAACTAAAAAACCCAAACACAATAAATGGTGATCTGAAGTGGCTCAGCTGGCAGTGCAAGACAACAGCTCCAGATTACTTCTCGTGATAACACTGGAGCAACCAGCTCACAGCCTTCCTTTCAGATATCTCACGGCACTTAAGGGCACCCAGTAGACAGATGTTTCATAAATTTAATTTTAAAACACTTACCACCAAGCTTGCTTCATTTCCCAAAGCTATCCTGATTCTGCTGGGGTCTGCTTAAAAAAAATAGAGAGAGAGAGAGAGAAGATAAAAAGAGAAAGCACTTAAAGACTCATTCAGTTCCTAACATGACCTGCATAAAACTTGACAGGTGACTTTTTAAAGTCAAAGAGCCAAAGCTCTTTGCTATCCTAAATAGGGATATCAAGCTGTAGTCACCCAGTAATACACCCTGGCTGTTGAAAGAGTCTATTTCTGTTGTTTTATTCCCAATGTTAAAATCTGAAGGTTAAAAGACATCTCTATTCACTTATGCCAACATGTTTCAGCACTAAGCGGTAATATCCTCTGCAGACTTGAAGGCTGCTCTCCCTCTCAGCGCCTGCTGGTGGAGCCTGTGCTTTCCCTGACAGCTGTCACAGCAGGTGGAACAGGTATGTCCAACAAGAAGTGAGCAGCTGATTCACTCACAAGGGACCAGCAGGAGGCAGCAGACAACTCTGGCAACTGATCCCTTTGGCAGGGATGGCTCCTGCCTCATGTTCCTCTGGCAGAGCCCTGCAGTTCATGTCCCTTATTCATTCAACATTTTAAAACTTGCTATTGAATATCTTTGATGACAAGCACTGAGAATACAAGAGTGAGCAAGCCAGACATGATCCCTGCACTTCATTGCTCTGGTCTCACTATCTATGGACTAAATTGGAGATGTCACCAGACTCACGGTTCCAATACAGTGGCATTTCTCTAACTTGGGAGGCTGGGTTTATTCCTCCATAAACTACTTTAATCCTCTCTTTATAGAAATTGTATAACTACTTTTCCAAACTATCTTGAAATTTTTCTTAGTTCTGTTTCCTCTTACCCAGTGTTTTAAAACTAATTTCCCACTATGCTGGGATGTGAACAAAAGCTACAAAATATTAACAGTATCTAAAATAAAATTAATACCAAAGCAAACTGGTAGAACAAAGAAAACTGGCTATCTCTTAAGTAATGGGGAAAAACTTGAATTATAAGACTGAAGGGGTTTCTTCCAAAAATAACAGTTAACAGTTAACTTTAAGAAAACAATAGAGTTTTCACAATGTTTCTTTTGTAGTATGTGAGTATAACACTGACATAAAGAGCACCAGACGATGGAGGTGTGGCACATGTCCCAACAGTGGGTGATTTTTACACTTTTTAGCTCTTCTCCCTCATTCTGTTCATATCTATTATCTTTGTGAGATTTCTTCAGAAGGAAGTCATTGATGACAAATGAAAATGAATAAAAATAGCTTTGAAAAAATTCAGAGGTGACAACTTCCAAAGAGACAATAAATTAAATTTGATATTTGCTCAGGATAGACTACAGCTATTATGCGGATGGTTCCCAACTTTTAAAAAGGCTCTGGCTTTTGTTTTTAATAAATTTAATTTTTTAAGCACAGTTTTAGATTCACAGAAAAATGGCCCAGAGAGTATAGAGACTCCCACATACCCCTGTGTCCCCCACACCACCTCCCCCATGCTGCACCATTACAGTCAAGGAGCCTACACGGACTCATCACCCAAAGCCCACAGCTCACATTAGAAAAGGCTCTGTGTTTTTAAAGAATGATATTTCTTCAGAAACTTGGGGATACATTTTTCCTGCAAGATCAGTGTTATATTTTCATGGTTAGATTCCTAGGCCAGTCCACAGAAGCCATCTACCTGACCCACGACAAGCCAGAGTAAATATGGTACTCACACTACACAGAGAACAATCTTTCCACCACTGAAGTGTCCAAACTAGGCTTTTATTTTTATTATTCTTATTATTCCAGGGAAAAAGATAAAATTAAAAGATAAAGTTCAGTATAAAATTATGTCTGGAATAACAAAAAGAAAATTTTGATTTGAGGAGTATCTCCAATAATGATTTCAATAATTTGAAAATTATATTTTCTTTTCTGTTCTACTGTATTTTTAAGAGCACTCAACAATAAATAGTTTTTCCAACATTCTTACCCTTTTTGCTTGGTATATTATGCTTAGTTTTTTTGGTTTCTTCTAATATCTGTTCACCATATTCTGTGATGATCTGAAATTTAAAGTTGAAAATTTAAAGATATGAAATACACTTTTCTATAGACATTACCATAAGTTCATTTAATCATCAACATTCCTCAGCACAATATTTAAAGCTGAAAAATAAAAATGTCATTTAAAGAATACATATCGTTTAGATGGCGAGACAAATATGGACATTTATTTATGTCTAGAAAAAGGCCTGGAAGGATATGCAAAGTGGAACCGTGATTATACTTGGGGAACAGCACTGTGGGAGAGAAAAGAGCATGGGGAGGAAGTTTTAACTTTCTAGTTTTTAATACACTTCTGCATCATTTGAATTTGTTTTCTTTTTGGCAGGGGTGACAGGGTCTCACTCTGTTGCCTGGGCTAGAGTGCCGTGCGTGGCACCAGCCTAGCTCACTGTAGCCTCAAACTCCCAGGCTCAGGCGATCCTACTGCCTCAGCCTCCTGAGCAGCTAGCACACCAGGGGTCCCCACCACGCCCAGCCCATCATTTGAATTTCACAAGTACGTGTACCATGGAACTGTGTGTAAAAGACAACACACCATTTTACCACACACTTGAAAACTGTTCCCAGCCCGCCCAGTGCCTGTCGTACCTCAGGGGGTAAGCACTTCTGGACGCGCCGAGCCACGCTGCGTCCGGAGAGCAGCGTGGTAGCCGAGGGGCGGTGTGAAGGGTTCCGTTTAAACATCTGCTTCACTAGACACTGAAGCTCGTAGGAGTAGTGCGACGGCAGTGGACTGACGGACCCTTGACATATTTTCAGGATAAGATTTTTCCAACTATTTGCCTGAAACTGAAAAGTAAAAAATTTTAACTTTAAAAGAGGATACAGGGAAAGAATATGGAAATCAGAAACTACCAGAGGAGCTAAAAGCATATAAATTACTTTAATTTTACAAACTTGCCAGATACCTGCTCATTTTCTTTCTCTAGGGATCCTTAAGATACTATCCTATAATTTTATGGTGGTTCAGGTCTAGAAAGGCAACACATGAATAATAAAAAGCTCCCCCCTCTAGAGAAAGTCTTTTCTTTCAGGAACCCATTAGTTCCTGCTTTGGGTACTTTATTTGTTGTAACCAATGGTTTTGCAGATATATATTTTTAAATATATTTTGAGAATCAAAGTAATACATACGTACGGCTTCTTAAAAAGTCAAATGATAGTAACAGGCCTCTAAAAAGTATACTATTCCTCTGCTCCACTCCTTCCCAGAACCCCCCAGGCGTGCTGCAAAGCAACGCACACGTCAGACTTGTCCAGTCTACTGCAAAATCCTTTTCACCGCTCTTGTCATTAAAGTCAAGATATAACACATGACAGATGGGAATAACTTTTTAAAAGTTTTCAATGTATAATAAATATATTGGAACTAACATTAGATGTCAGCCTTGGTACTGCTTATATAAAAACACGTCGGCATTCTGTCTTGAAAGTATATTGCCCTACTGATAAAAAATGCAAGTGAAGATACCAAAAAAGAAAAACCAACAAATAACAAAGGAAAAATTCAGGCAATAAAAAAATAAGATTGAAGCTGCTTTGCCTCTGGCTTTTTAGCCATTCTATTGGTTTCCTGCATTTCCTACAGGTTTGAGAGCGATTTCTGCCTTCAAACAGACAAAAGACAACAGATCTAGTACCAAATATTCAGGGCACTGTAGTCCTTAATGCTTACTCTTGCTAGTAGAAACAAGAATGTGTATAGCAGTTACCAGGGGCTGAGGGGAGCGTAGAATGGGGAGTAATTATTTAATGGTTACAGAGTTTCTGTTTGGAGTGATAGGGAAGTTTAACAAATAGGTAGTAGTAATGGTTGCACAATATTGTGAATGTAATTAATGCCACAGAATTGTATACTTAAAAATAGTTAAAGTGGAAAATTTTGTTATATATATTTTATCAAAATAGAATTAAAAAAATTAAGAATAGCAAAAGAAGAGAGGGACGGAGGAGGGAAGGGAAGGGAAGAAAAGAAAGGAAGGAAGGAGGGAAGGCAGACAGGCAGGCGATACATAGCACAACAGAAACTAAACAATGGAAATTTCCTATTAGTATATGCTACAAAAGCGGCTCAAGGCAAAGAGGATAGCAGTGGAAACATATGAAAACTTTTATAATGACTTCAACCTAGAGAAGCAAACTGCCAACTGGAATTTGGCACATTACTTAGGACTCAGCCAGATATGACAAGCTGCCTCTTCCATTTTGCATGCCATACTTACTGGATGCCTGAGGGTACAGAGTTCATACAGAATGCATCCCAAGGACCAGATGTCACTGGAAGCACAAAGAAGCAATGTAATAACCGATTATCAGTTAACATATGAAAATATATGGATTTTCTAATACAGAAAAATGAAAAATTATCCTACCTTTAATAAGAATAGATATCACAAGTAATTCCTAGATATTAAAACATACAGTAATTTTGGTCTAATACATAGACACTTACTAAGAGTAATGTTCACAATAAAACTCTCTGCTTCCCAAGCCTCACCTCTCCAAATGAGGGTAGTTCTGATATCCATCCAGTAGCATTTGGGAATTCAGTAGCAAGAGGGAATATTTGCAGACTCAGATTATCATAGCTGAAAGAAGGACTCTAGAAGACATTCAGTGCAGCTTCCACTCGGAATGCCCTATGCACAGCACCGAGCCTCTGATTGCATCTCCTAATGGACAGCTCTGTACCTTGGTCAGAGTCTGTTCCCCTGCTGGACAGTTCTAAGGGATACCATTCTTTATCAAAATACCATACTTTATCATACTTTATCAAAAAGCCAAAGTGCGGCTGGTTGCAGTGGCTCACACCTGTAATCCCAGCACTTTGGAAGGACAAGGTGGGGAGGATCATTTAAGGTCAGAAGTTCTAGACCAGCCTGGGCAACACAGTGAGGCCCTGTCTCTACAAAAAATTTTAAAAATAGCTGGGCGTAGTGGCACTTGTTTGCAGTCCCAGCTACTGAGGAGGCTGAGGCAGGAAGATTGCTTGAGCCCAGGAGTTTAAGGCTACAGTGAGCTATGATCACAGCATTGCACACTCCAGCCCGGATGACAGAGCAAGACTCTATATCCTAAAAAAAAAAAAAAAAGAAAGAAAAGGCAAAATGTATCTCTGGGAACTCTCTCTACCCTCAGGGTTATCTCTGTATTCCCAAACAAAGAGAACAAGACTACTGACTCTTCCACAAAGTAGCTCTTCAAAATCAGAAGAGTTTTATAGTTGGCCCTATACCCTAATCTGTTTCCTCCATCATTCTCACCATCTACTAGTCAGCTTCCAAACATTTTCTTTTCTTTTTTTTTAGAGATGGAGTCTTGCTATGTCACCTAAACTAAAGTGCAATGGCTATTCACAGGCACGATCATTGCATCAGCCCACAGCCTTGAACTCCTGGGCTCAAGCAATCCTCCTGCCTTAGCCTCCCGAGTAACTAGGACTACAGGCGCATGCTATCATGCCCAGCTAATTTTTCTTATTTTTTGTAGAAATGGGGTCTTCCTATGTTGCCCAAGTTGGTCTTAAACTCCTGGCCTCGAGCGATTCTCCCACCTTGGCCTCCCAAAGTACTGGAATTACACCATGTCCAGCCTAGTAACATTATTTAATATTTAGTCCATACTCAAATTTCCCCAATTGTCCCAATAAGTCCCTTCTACTCTAAAATGAATCTATTTAGATTTTCAAAAAACAAGTCAGCAGAAAGTAATGAGATTCTACTTCTAGGAATCCATGCCAAGAATGTGATATAAAACAATGACATACTTACGCACAAAAGGTATGTTAATCACAGCACTGTTTATGATACTGAAACTGGAAATATACAGCCAAAACCAGAGGAATGATTAAGTAAATTTTGGAAAGCCCTATGGTAAGGCAGCCATTACAAATATTTAAGAAGAGTTTAAATATGTGGGAAAATGAATATGATATAAGATAAAGTGAAAAAATAAAACCAGGAGACCAATTGTATATAGAATATATCAACAGTTTTAGGAGAAAAAAGTGACTGGATGGTGAAAAAAATCCCATCAAAATATTATTAGGAGTTGAGAAAAGTGGGTGATTTCCATTTCTTTTCTTACATATCTTTCTATTTCCAATCCTCCACATCCACCCATCCACACAATGGGCACGTATAACTTATATTCAGAAAATACATGTTTTAAATAATAAGGTCTTCATATTAACTTCCTGCAATTAAATAACCTAGCAACCAAGTGGTTATGATCTAGCCATATAAATGTTAACTCAGTCATATAATCTTTCAGTTCCCAAATGTTGGAAATCACCTGGTGATCTTGAAAAATTACTGATGCCTGCTTCCCATTTACTGACATTCTGATTTAATTGGTATGGATGCAATCTAGGCTCTGGGATTTTTAAAAGCAGGAGCAGCAAAGTTTGGGAACCAGTGTTATAATTCATATTGTCCCTAGAAATGACTAACCTTTCTTTCAGCATTTCAATTAGCTCCTCTCAGCTCTGATTAAAACGGTCAGAAAACTAAAACTTTCATCTAGAAGCCTAGGAATATAGATTCCATAGTGCTTTCAAATATGTATTTTAAAAACCAACATGCTCCACGCATCTGCTTTAAAGTGGCCCCAGACTCTAGCATTGTTTGCAGGCTACACTGCCTGTCACCAGTGACCCATGCACCAAATAAGTACACCACTTACCTTTTATTGTTATAAGGCAGGTTTTCCCAAATTTCTGGAGGCACATAATAAGGTGTTCCCACATAGGTACAAGCAAATGCCATCGGACTAAAACCATAAAAAGGCAAAGAATGATTACAGAGCATTCCTGAAAATGGACATTTTGATTACTGTCACTACTATAGAGCAGAGATACATACTTGGAGAGAAGACGGGCAGATCCAAAGTCTCCCAATTTTACTTTTCCATTTTGGGTGAGGAAGATATTCTGCGTTTAAAAAGAAGAACTCAGATTATGTCTTCTGTCATCCAACTATGAGGCCGAGGTCTGCGGAGAAGCTGTCTTCCAAAGCCCGCTGATGACGGAGATTAAGGGTAGAAATGCAATGGTGACAGCCGAGTCTCTGAGTGGCATGGCACCATCCCCTCTTGACAGCTACATGTTCCCCTGTGTGGGAATTCAGGATGACTGCTTCGAAATCTGGCCAGCAAGTTTCAGGCTGTATCAGCAGGACCAATCAACCAGCTAGGAACCTGTGTTTGAGTGACTTCACCTGGTGGCAGGCCCAAGTGTCAACATATGGACTTTGTAAGTGGTCACTAAGAGAGCCGAGAACACATTAACATATACTGTCATGCACCGCACATGACATTTTGGTCAACGGCAGACTACATATATGATGATGGTCGCATAAGATTTTAATACTGTATTTTTACTGTACCTTTCTACATTTAGACATGTTTAGCTATACAAATACTTACCACTGTGTTACAGCTGCCTACAGTATTCAGTACAGTAACCTGCTATGCAGGTTTGTGGTGTAGGAGCAATAGGCTGTACCACATAGCCTAGGTGTGCAGTAGGCTATACCATCTAGGTTTGTGTACACTATGATGTTCACACAATGAAATTTCCTAACAACACATTTATGAGAATGTATCCCCTGTCATTGAGCAACACATGACTGTACTACTACAGAGATTTAAATGACTTTTTCTCAAGTAGTACCTTATTTGGTTAATATAAATATTCAATCTAAGGGTTCAAAGTTTCAGTTAGCATACCTAAGTTCTACAGATCTACTCTATAGTATGTTGACTATAGTAATAATAATGTACATTATACTTCAAAATTGCTAAGAAACTAGATCTTAACTGTTCTCGCCACAAAAAATGGTAAGTATATGAGGTGATAAATATGTAATTAGCTTGAGTTAATCATTTTACAATGTGTATATATACATATATATACATCAAGATATCATGTTGTACACTGTAAATATATATAATTTATATTTGTCAATTATATCTTAATAAAGCTAAGGGAAAATATTTTAAAATTTAAAAAGTAAATAATATATAAATAAATATTAGGCTGACAAATACTTCTAAACTAAATAAATATGTCCCCAAAGGACATAGAATAACACAGAAAAAAGACAATAAAATACTCTTAAGTTTCTTTTTTAACACATTAACCTCCATGTGAGGTTATTTATCTAACACTAGTATTGAGCCAGGGGCCTCGTGAAGCAAAACCTGGGCAAACCCCTGCAGTTGGTTTGTGAAAATCTTACTTGTTGATGTTCTTATTGTTACAATTAATATTGACAATTTTAAAACATGGATTAAAGGAAAAGAAGTCAATAAATTTCATTTTTCTATTTATGTTTACCTTTAAATTATACTTAAGCCTGACAAGTCAAGAAAAACACTTTAGCCTTATGAACTGTTTTTTAAGTTTTCACATTACTCTTTACATTACTAATTCTTAAGTTTTTATATTACTTTTTAATTGAAAAAAACACAGAAAACAATAAAAAATAATAAATTTTTCATTGAATTAGAAAGTATTTTGTTTTTGAAGTTTTTATTCTATTTTTGTAATAAAACACTGTGGCCCCAAGGAAAAAAATTTTTTTCTAATGTGGCAGTCAATGTGTTAAGTCTAAAAATGTATTCCACGCACCTTGGACTTGATATCTCTGTGTAGCACACGTTTCTTGTGAATGTGATTTACTCCAAGGCACATTTGTGTAAACCAATTAAATATCTGTAAGAAAAAAAAGTATGAAAAAGTTTGCAAAAATGAAAATGACTTCTTCATTTTAACCCCAAATTCCAAAATTCACCTCTAGGCCTTAGTTGATCAAGATTTTATATAAGTTCTGAGTACAGAATTCCTGAAAATAATAGTTCAACTAAGATTCAGTATTACCTAGAGAAATTCAAAAAAGCTGTGGCTCCCATGTTCCATCATCTTATGTATGATCCCAATAGCAATTCATTTTAATAAAACTTACACTATATTTTTCTTATATTTAACCAAATAAAAATATTTCTTAAATGCATACATAAGATAGCTCACGGCTTAGAAATATACTACAGATTTTCTAGTGTGATCATGTTGGATTTTCATTGACTTTTTCAGAATATTCATATGGTAGTATTAAAAGATTTCATTATATTATAAACAATCCTTTGATTGTCAGCAATTTTTGCTTATAAATCCCCAGACAATAATACCCATAATTTCTAGGTGCCTTGGGGGTCTACAATTAAATATCAAACTGATTTTTTTTTCCATTTTTGCTATGAAGATTCATACATGTAAAGTCAATGTTGACTTCCTTCTATGGAGCCCATATTTTTAACAATACAAATTCTAAATGAAGAATATTGATTATATTTATCATTATACTTTCATGATTTAGCTATAACCTAAATCAAACTAAGCCCATTGGAGCTGTTTATTTAATATTTTCCTTAGCCAATTCATTACAAAAATATTTAGTATACAATTAAAAGGTAGAAAGTCCTGGCTTCATTCTTCTGATGGTCTAGCAATACACAATAAAATCTACTTGCCTTCTAAAATTTCAGCACCATAAAAATCAAGATTTTAAATATCTACTACAAAATATGATGAGTAATATAATTTTGAAATTCTTGTAAGCATGGAAGAATTCCTTAATATTTTATAACCTGTATCAGTTTTACCTCCTACAACTATTTCAGGTGGCCACAGCCTGCAGACACTAAGCAGTTAACAGGGACACAGAAATCAGTCATTTCTAGCTAGTGTGTCAGGTAATCACAGATACCAATGCTTTTATTTTAACTTACACAAAGTTTACGGGAAAAGCTGCTTCTAAACCCTGAGGGAAACTACGGAAATCAATCTCTTACCATATCTTCAGGAAATAACTTTCCTTTTTGCTGTTTAATCTTTTGCATCAGATCTCCTCCATCACAATATTCCATCACAATATACAAATGTCCTTCAGCTAAAACAGATAGAAGACTTTTTAGGAAAGCAGTAGTGGCCATAAATCAAAATCAGAAATGCACACATTTGGGGAATTCATATTACTTCAAATGATTCTTTAAAGGCAACAATATTGGGTGTTTTCATTTTGGCTAACAGAACAGCCTCCTTCCTAGAATTCTGTGTATCAGAGAAAGACTGGAAAGAATTTAAATAAGCATAAATTTAATATTGTACTTAAAATAGTTTCTAAATAATTAATTATATTTTATGCATAATAATATATAGTACTTCAGTGTATGATACTCGGTGCTAGATACAGTTTTATAACACTGTATTTTGACCCAACTAAAGTTTATCAAACTCCAGGAGAAAATATGTGGTGATTTTTCAACTACCGCTATATTTCGCATGCATAAGCTGGCCCTTCCTTGTATTTTTACGAGTTTTTTTTTCATTCTTTATACGTGCAGAATGTAAACTAGTTTTTTTTTTTTTTTTTTTTTTTTTGAGACAGAGTTTCACTTTGTTGCCCAGGCTAGAGTGATGCCGTGGCGTTAGCCTAGCTCACAGCACCTCAAACTCCTGGGCTCAAGCGATCCTTCTGCCTCAGCTCCCGAGTAGCTGGGACTACAGGCATGCGCCCATGCCCGCTAATTTTTTTATATATATAGTGCCAATTAATTTCTTTCTATTTATAGTAGAGACGGGTCTTGCTCTTGCTCAGGCTGGTTTTGAACTCCTGACCTTGAGCATCCGCCCGTTCGGCCTCCAAGAGCTAGATTACAGGCGTGAGCCACCGGCGCCCGGCCTGTAAACTAGTTTTAACATGAGCCTAAGTATCATTCAACTTGGATAGCCAGTATGCCATCAAAACCAGATATACTAAGAAAAAAAAAGGGATCTCATGTTTGACTGCTGCATTTCATCAGTCCACTGGCCCAAATGAAAAACATTATGCTGGTGTGTACTACATCAAGGATGCAAAAGATGACATAAAAAGTAAGTTTCTAAACTGTTTACCTAACATCTCTATGAGGATGAAATTCTCAATGATTTATTTTATCTTACAACCAAGAAATCGCTACCGATTATGCACTAGCATAGGTTCTCAGACCGCAGAATCACACTTGCTGGGAACTTGTAAAAATGCAATTCACAGGCCCACCAGACCTACCCAGTCAGATTCCTGAGGGTGGCACAGCAATCTGTTGTCCAGGCCTCCAGATGATTATTGATGCCCACTCAAGTTTCAGAATCACTGAACAAATCAAGAACACATTGGGAAAAAAGACCTACCACTTGGAATTTTTAAATGCATTTTTAAAATTAATCAAAGTATTAGTAAGCAATCTCCCTGGCATGGATTCTTTCATAGGACAACTATGATATGCAGTAATAGTCTATGAAATAAACCTATAAACTTATCCAGAATAGGTTCCTAACCAAAAGGTTACCATTTTAGGTCTTTGTCCTCATTTGATTTTATGTTCCTTTTCATTAATATTGTAGCTGATTTGCTTTTGGCAAAGATTTCTACACTGTTGGGTAAACAAAGTGAAATTATTACCAATCACTCAGTGAGATAAATAACAGTAATCATCACCAAATTTTTCCCTTGTTAATTACAATATCCTAAGAACCACATAAATCAAGCCTTGTAAACTAATGAAAAGTGATTATGACTTGCATGAAGAGTTCCATGTTAAATTCAATAAGTTATTTTATTACACAACTACATGTACACTTTTAAGCAATTTTCTTTAGCGTGACTTAGGAAGCCTTATTTCTTTCATGGCAAACATCCGATTACTGCTTTCTGCTGAACCAAAAGAGCTCTGCCAAAGGAGCCCTCCCCGATCACTCTCAGGACTACGTAGTCATCCATGCTGGGGCAGCCTCACAGCTGGGCTCACTCATGCAGTCGTCATGGGCTCCTGCAAACTACATTCAAGACAGAAGCAATTGAGAATTAAATTTCTTTCAAAAGGCAGAATGAATCAAGTAGTGCAATTCATCATGACAAGACAACAGCAATGTATTCCTTTTGAAAGAGACCAGTGTATGCACCCAAAATATGCCCTTCAGTGTAAGAATTGTTTTGAGCTGAAAGCATGTGCTCTTTGCCCTCCTCTTTCTGTCTAAATGTAGGACAATTTTCCTATGTACAAGCACAAATTTCTATTTGCAAGTGTCTTCCTCTCCAGTACTAGGAAGAGACAATTTATTAATGGGGGTAGGTACCATTTGAGTCTGCTAACAAATTCACTAAATAACCCTTATCTTGTTAGTTCCCATATTTATCTCCTACAGTTTATCCTAGAAGCTCAACCTTCCTCTCTCTAGCTCTCCTCCATAATTTACCACTCTTTGTTAAAATGGGATATAAGCTCCTGATCTAACACTTCTTACATTCATGCATATGTAATAAACTTTTTCTCCTGTTAACCTGTCTTTTGTTCATTTATTTGCAGGCTCCAGGTAGTGAGCCTAAGGTGGAGAAAAAGGTTTTTTCTCTTCAAGGTAGACTCTCAGCACCAATCTCTGGTCAGATTGTTATAATCCTGACAATCTCTCATAGTCCCTGCCATTGTGGGCGTCCCATGCAGAAATAACATAACCTCCACAAATGTAAGGGTGGTGAGTCTTACGAGAAGATCTATGCTGGCCTGCTGCAGAAATATCCAGAGAAATAGTATTTAAGTGAAGCCTGAATGCATTGAATGGAAGGTTGGCTAGGCAAAGAGGAGTGACAGAGTGATCAAGGAAGGGGATCATTATATTAAGCTAAGAGCATTTGTTGTCGGGTTCAGACATGAAGAGAGAATATACGGTTAATGGTAGACAGGGGTCATTCTGGAGGCCATGTAGAAAAAAAAAAAAAAAACAGCCATAATTTAATGGCTAGAATTTTACTCTTCAGGATAATTATGGGGCTTGTCTGAAGCAATATAAATATATCAAATGTGAGTTTTAAGAATCATACTTTGCATATTAGAAAAATCACTCACTCAGGCTGAGATTGAATGGACAGATGGTGGAGGGGCAGTAGGGTCAGATCAAGATGTACAGGCCAGTTAGGCCCCACACATAGTAGTGAAGGCACAGAAATAATAATGAAATGAAATAGAGTGGTGGGAATGGATGAAAATGGAGTAGTAACAGTTGACAAGCTGATAGATTCTTGGTGATTAATTTATGCAGGACACCGAAGAAAGAGGCAAGGTGACTCCCCCCCCCCCAGTGGTTTCTGGCATGAACTGGGTGAATGGTGCAGCACATCCTGAGAGACGAAGGAAAGGCCACAAGATTGTTATGGTCTGGTTTTGTTTGTTGATTTTCTGGGTAGTGGGTGTGGCAGGTGGGGGCAAAACATGAGGAGAACGGAGACATGCCCTATTGGACATGTTGAGCTAGGAGGTGCCTGGGACTCATCATTAACAGACATCTAGAGTCTTGACTTCAGCTTCCCCCTTACATTTCCAGGTATAACAGGTGTAGGGTGCTCTGTTCATACATAAGAGAAATGATAGAAAGTCTGGCCAGGTGGTGATGGCTCATGCCTGTACTTGCCTGTAATCCCAGGCACTTTGGAGTGAGCTGACGGCATGAGATCTTGAGACAGAGTTCGGAACCAGCCTGGGCCACAGAAAGCCATGTCTCTAAAGAAGAAAAAATAAAATTGCTAGCGGTGTGGTGGCACACACCTTGTAGTCCAACTACTCAGAGGCTTTGAACGCGGGGGGATTGGAGCTGCGGAGTGATGAATGGCACCATTGTACTAC